CAGATTTCCACAAAACTTCGCATACATAAATTTGGACCTAATTCAGTACGCTGTGCAAAATTTCGTGCCAATCGCCCTAAAATTGACTCCTTGGTGCTCCATTTACATAAAATCGGACGAAAATATATATGGGAGCTATATCTAAATCTGAACCGATTTCAACAAAATTTGGCATGTATTAATCTAGACCTTATTCAGTACTCTGTGCAAAATTTTGTCTTAATCGGACAAATATTGGGAGTTTGGTGCACCATTTACCTAAAATCGGACGAAACTATATATGGGAGCTTTATCTAAATCTGGACCGATTTTCTCCAATTTCAATAGGGTTCGTCCTTGGGCCAAATAATTTCATCCAAATCGGATCATAAATGCGACCTGTACTTTGTTTACAAAAATACATGGATGGACAGACGAGCATTCATAAATCGTCTCAGAAAGTGATTATATGCATATTCTCAAAAGGAACAAAAATATTTAAAAAAAAATCCAGCCCTTGACTAAGTATTTCTAAAAATATTTTTATTCATGCCTATACTGACCCTCATTGAAAATATTTTTAAGAAAACCAAGCCTCTTGTAAAACTGGAAAAATATTTTTAAAAAACTCACGCTTATGCTGGACTTTTAAAAATATTTTCTTTAAATAAATTTTCGGCTTGTACTAGTCCTTCTAAAATAAGAATATTTTTTCTAAATCCTCCATCATGGGATTTTTAACAAATCTCATTATGGACATCCACAATATTTGCTTAAAAATCAAATCACCATTAAAAATATTTAAAAAAAATCCTCGGGGATCCTGGAACTCCTAAAATTTATTTTAAAAAATCTAAGCTATGCTGGACCTCCTAAAAATATTAAAAAATCCACGTCATGTATTAGACCCCCTTCTTAAGAATGTCTATCGCGTGAAAAATTGTGTTCAGCGACAAAGATCTTTGTTGGTTCAATGTCTACGTAAATAAGCCGAATTGTTGGTTTGGGAGTGCAGATCCGCCAGAAGAATTGCTAAAGCTATTAATGTATCCAGAAAACGTTAGGTTCGGTTATGGGCTGATCGCATCATTGAACCGTACTTCTTTAAAGATGTTGCGAACCGTGAATGGTAAACGCTACCAAGAGATGATATCCAACTTCATTAGCTCAAAATACATAAATAAATAAGCGAACTTCCAGCACTATTGGATCACCTCAAACAATATTAAATAAAATTTAGTATCATTTAGTACACATAAGTACAAAATTACCTACATCATACAATCCAATAGAAATAGTTTTTCCCCAATTTCAGGATCCCAGCCCTATTCACTCTAAATGCAAATTGTACTAAATTTAGTGTCATTTAGTTCACATTGGTCGAAATGTCCAAAGCTTCCACATATCCCAATCCTATATCCCAACGTTAATCCTATCTCCAATATTCACGATTCCAGCTCTGTCGGATCATCTAAAGCCAAATTGTATATAATTTAGTACCCATAAGTACAAATTTCCAAAACTGCCTATTTGCTGTAGTAATCTTATTTCCAGATTTCAGTATTTCAGCTCTATCGGTTCACTCCTCCAAATTAAAATTGTACCAAATATAGTACTGTTCAGTACTTTTCGTATACACTTCCAAAACCACCTCCTTATATCTAACCTTCTTCTGAACCTTGATTAGCATACAAATTTCAAGTTTTTAGCTCCACATGCTAGCAAATTTAGTACATTTTTTAGATTGTCACCACGACTTTCTAAAATTTTTTCAACAATTACCAGATTGGCGACCAACATATTTACTTTGTTTTTTTTTTTTTTATATCGTACGTTCCCACGCCTCACTTTCCCACCCCTGCCGACCGAGGGGGCGACCTCCCCTTTCGTAGGGATCGCGTACGCATCATAATCCGCATTATGATGGAATATGAGAAGGGATAGAAAACCAGCCACAGAAATCTACTTCAACAGCCAGTTTGTTATTAAGTTGTATTATTCATTTAAAAATATGATTATATTAGATTTTATTAGGTCTATATTCATGCAAAAGTCTACGTTAGAATACACAGAATTGAAATCAATACACATTTTACTAAGTGGATCTCCCATAGAATAATTTGTGCGATGAAAATCTACGTATAATGGTTGATAATATCTACTTGATCGAAAAGGAACATTTATTCTAATGGATGAAATTAGGAAGTCTGAGGGTATATTACCGCTTAGTATTTTAATTACTATCATAGTGTTCAACATAATACGTCTACTTTTTAATGTTGGCAATCGAATTAATTTTAACCTGCTAGTGTAAGAAGGCAACACAAAGTCACTATTCCAATGTAAACCTCTCAGCGCAAAAATTAGAAATTGTTTCTGCACTGATTCAATTTTATCGGAATAAATTGTATATTGGGGATCCCATACAACAGAACCATATTCTAATATGGGTCGCACAAGAGATGTAAAAAGTTGTTTTGTAATGTAGGGATCAGAGAATTCTTTAGCCCATCGTTTTATAAATCCTAAGACACCGTGGGCTTTGTTTACCATAGAAATAACATGATTATTAAAATTTAATTTTGGATCCATTAAAATACCAAGATCAACAAATGAATCAACAGTTGATAAAACAGTACCATTAATATTGTATTGCCTTGTTAAAGTAGAAGATCTGGAAAAACACATATGCTTACATTTGTTTAGGTTTAAATCCATACAGTTTAATTCGCACCATTGAAAAAGGTTATTTAAATCATTTTGAAGTAAATCAGCTTGCTTCATGGAGTTATGGGTGATAAACAACTTGACATCGTCAGCATACATTAGCAATTTGGAGTGGATTATTGCATTTGGTAAATCATTTATAAATAGAAGAAAGAGGAGTGGACCTAAATGACTTCCTTGGGGAACGCCGGAAGGAACATTAATGGATTTGGAGAGACAATCATCAAACAAAACTACCTGTGATCTATTTCTCAAATAAGATGATATCCATTTAACTAAATTTATACTGAAACCAATTTGATTTAATTTATATATTAAAAGTTCATGGTTAACCCTGTCAAAAGCTTTACTGAAGTCAGTGTAAATCGTGTCGGTTTGATTACGCTGAATAAAACCTTTTATGACGGTTGAGGAAAATTGAATAAGATTGGTAATGGTTGAGAGGCCACTACGAAAACCATGTTGATATGGGCTTAAGATTGTTGTTCTTAATGTTTTGGGGTAATAATCTCAGTTTAACGACGATGAACAAAAAAAAAATGCAATGGTGCCATTGTTTGGATCCCGAAATACCATTTTACAGGCTCTTTGGAGGTAAAACCCTGAAATTCCAAACCATTTCCATTTGTTTTCGAAAATGTGGTTAGAACTTTAAAGTGAAAATTCTAAAAATTTGGCGGTTGCATATTTTCTGCAGGTAGGTTTTTTACCCCTTCAAAAATATGTGCTTTGCAATTTCAATGCCTAAATTTGTTAATAGAAGCCCACTAGAGATCCTACAAGACTTACTTATTAGGTGCCTTGTATTGTATTTAAATATCCTTGGGACTGTACCAGAGTCTGTAGAAAGCTCCTAAAGACCTTTATGTCTTCATTAGTTCTATAGAAAACCTTGAAGTGGTTCTATTGCCTACAGTTTTTATATTAGATCTAAATAATAGAAGGGACCTAAAGGTTAAAGAGCCTACAAAACGACACCCGCTCAAAGATCGTATAATACATAGACTTCGTGTGACATACTATAAGTCAAAATTTTTTTTAATAAATATCATCAACTTTTTTTTAAATATTAAGCTGTTTATAAGACCGTTACAGTTTAGGCATCAGGGATATTCTCTTCGGAGTTGTGGTGGCAATATTAAATAAAAATTCACAATCTACCTTAATGTTGGTGCCACAACTGTATTGATTAAAAAAATCTTGATTTTCGATAAATACCTTTATCATCATATCCATGTTAACCAATGATCCATTCATTGGGCGTCATTTTTGTAAATTCCGATTTTTTTACATTGCGACTAGAATGAGATCTATACATAAATTAAAGGTCACTGTTAAATAAACATCGCCCAATATTGATCCTACATTGCTCAACCGGAATAGTCGCCACATGACATGTTGCACCACTTAAATGAAATCGGACGATATATGGAAGCTATATTTAAATCTCAACCGATTTCAAATCTGAACCGATTTCAACGAAACTTAACACACGTCATTATAGACTCAATTCAGTACGCTATGCAATATTATGTCTCAATCGGACAAATCTTGGGAGTATGGTGTACCATTTACCTAAACTCGGACAAAAGTATATATGGGAGCTATAACTAAATCTGAACCTTTTTCACCACCATTCTATTCTCAATTCAATTCGCTATGCAAAATTTCGGACCATCATATACCATCATCATATTTATGGGAGCTATACCAAAATCTGAACCGATTTATTCCAAGGTCTTCTATAAGTAGATCTCTTGTTCTTCTTTAAAAATTACCCTTAGTTTTCTACCATAAGACCTAATAGTACGCTATAAGCGGACCTCTTGGTCTTCTATAAGAAGATCTCTTGATCATCTATTATAATACCAATTGGTCTTTTATAAGATCTCTATATGAATAATTCTTAGTCTTTTATAAAAAGACTTCTTAGTATTCTATAAGAAGTCCCCTCATACAAGATGGAAATACCTCTTTGTTTTCTAAAAAAAAGAGTTCATGGTATTCTGTAAGGCTTTTGGTCTTCTCGATAAAGAACTTTGGTTTTATTAAAGTTACTTTGGTCTTCGAAAAAAAACTATGGGTCTTCAAGAAAAACCTCTAATGTGTTTTCTTCTGTAAGAAGCTCTTTTGGTCATCTGTAGAAATTCGTTTGGTTATTTGTTGGAGGGCATTTTGTTTTTTATAGAGATATCATAGCATTTTCATAAAATAAAACCACTTTTTTAATTTTAATTTTCATAAACATTTATTAAACAAACAAAAAAATAAAAACAACAAACATTTCAAAAAAATTATATTTGGCCACCATGTGTCCGCATATGCTGCAGCAGACCAACTTTAAGTTTAAACGCCTTGCCGCACAGTGAACACACATGCTTCCTCGCATCATCATGTATCACCTCATGTTGCTTGAGAGTTTTGCGGGTTTTAAAAGCTTTGCCACAAATTGCACATGCAAAATCACGTACGTTATTATGCGATCGTATGTGATCATTCATACGATCCTTTTTATAGAAACCCTTCGAACAGATTGGACACTTATGTAAATACTGCTCTTCGTGACGACGACGATGAACATTTAACGATGTGCTGTGACGAAATGAAATGCCGCATATTTCACAACAATACGGCTGGACCCCGGTATGTGAACGCATGTGAATTTTCAAATCGCTGGCTACCAAAAACTTTTTACCACACTCCGAGCATTCTTCATTCAAGTCATTCATGTGGCGGCGGGCATGAGCAATGTATGGGCCGGGATTACTATATTCTTTTTGGCACAGCGAACAACGTATTGCCTCCGAACCATCATGTTGAGATTTGTGGACTTTAAACGTCAATGGACTTTTGAATATTTGGGCACATTCACGACATTGAAAAGGTCCAATGTGGTCATTAAGATATTGCATGTGTTTGAAATATTTATCTGGCTTCGGTTTAGCCTCTATAAGATGACAACGTTTTAGTTTACTAAAATGATTGTGCATAAAATGTAGATAGCCCTGTAGGGCACTTCCGCTAATCTCAAGATTCATTTCCTGTTCAATGACTTTTCGCATTTCTTCGATGGCTTCCATGCGTTTATTTTTACAAACATTTTCTATTAAATCGGTATTCCAAAGATGTGGAAAACGTTCATATATTCCCAAAACTTGTATTATTTGTTCGGGTTGTAGATTACATTCGGGGGTTGTGTTAGTAGTTATTGTTGTATTGAAAGTTTTTTCAACTATGGGTTTAAGGAATTCCATGTGAGGCAAAAACCATGCAGGCTGAGTTTTTTCATCGAGGGTGGTTGTGGCATCGTATATGCTGCGTTTAAAATCATGTCTATATTTACGATACAGATAGGTAATGACTGCTGCAATTTGTGTCAGGGACATTTGTAGACTATGTTTTTCCTTTAAGTCTTCTTTGATTTTTTCCAAATATTTGTTATGATGTTTTTTCAATCTATATTGTGGAGATTTTTGTTTCCAAAGTATTGGATAACTTTTGTATTCTTCGATAAGGGATATAACATTTTGCTGGGATTTAATAAAATTATGAACAAATAGTGGTGAATCGCTATCTTCGGATTCCACAGACTGTAACGGAGAGAAAATAAATAATTGTAATATAGCAAGTGTTTCTTTTATTAACATCTACATACCTCATTATCAGATTCCAGGTTTTCCCAATTGGCATCATCTGAAGCAGTTGATAGCTGTTCATCTTTTTCGGGGTCTTCGAATATATTATCTTGCTGATTAAAACACTCTTCGGGTTCATTTAATGTAGTTTCCTCTTTAATCTCTGGATTCTTGGTATCTTCATATAAGGCATTCAAAGGGTCCTACAAACAATATATTTTATTAAATAATACAAAAATAAATGATGGACCTACCACATCTTCAACGTTTATATTATCCTCTTCATATTTAATATTGGCATTTACATTATGCCCCAGGCTATTAGTTTCAAAATTGACTAAACTTTCTTGGAAACGCTTTGAACATGGAGGAATTACAAATGACTGCAACTCAATATAATGGTCAGCATAGCATCCACAACGAAAAACAAATTGTTCCTTTTCATTGATAGTCGGCGATTTTAAGATTTCTCCACATTTAATGAAATTGTTGTAGTCAGGCATATTTGTTGTTCTTATAAATTTTGCCGAAATATGCAGCACTTTGTAATTTCCAAGATATTTAGCATTTATTTAATTAAAAATAAACAAAATAAAACTTAATTCTTCTCTAGATGCACAACTATCCCAAATATTCTGCTGTGGGGTATGTTCAGTGATAGTTTGTTTATATTTTGTTCTGTTTACCATATTAATGGGAGCAAGAGTGAAAGCAATGTGAGAGAGTTGTAACAGGTATGTTCAGTGAGCATGACCGCTCTATATAAATAACAAAATTGTTGCAGTTATAAATATTTTCTTTTAAATAAAAATAGTTTTTTTCTTCTTAACTTATATATATTGCCAAAAGTTATGTTATAGGTGTATGTTCAGTGTTTGTTTTTATTTATTTGGTTTGCTATTTAAATGAAATACGATTATATTTAAATTATTACAGTTTTGGCAATCCAACCTATAAGGCTTGGAAAGAAAAATAAAGGAGCTATGTTAATGGTTGCATTCTGTAGACATGATTGTTCTTCATATAATATTTAAAAATATTTTTTTTAATTTAAAAATTAGTTACACTTTTAGTTCTTATAGCTACAATTATCCAAACCCGTCTGTTTGTGGTATGTTCAGTGATAGTTGTTTTACTACAACATTTTATTGCTCATACTTTACGTCTTCCTCTAATTCCATACATATAGATTAAACATACCGCACATAGGAGGCAGACCATAAGTAGGGAATCACTGAACACACCCCAATAAAAACATAAACATATTTTGTTAACAAACCCAAGAGAAAAGGATGAAAGATGCCTCCTTTAGCAGAATTAAATAGTGAAATAAAAAATATGGTAAAATTTAATTGTACGTTTTGCGATACAATATTTCAGCAAACGAAAAAAATCACTTTGCCTCTGGAAAAGGAGCATAGAACACAAATTAATGGAAGTGGTCTGGTGGTGGCCGAGTAGGATCACAATAAAAATGAAAACATTGGAGATGTGGATAGTTTGTTTTTGTCGGAAATAAAAGTAGAAGATTGTATGGTTGATGTGAAACTAGAGAATGATGAAGAGGAGGAGTTTAATGTGATGGCAACAAGGAATACAGAGAAGGTATGTAGGTATGTATGTACATGAGTTTATGTGTGAATCCTTATTATGTTTAATTTCTGATTTCAGATTCAAAGTCAGCAGAGTTATGATGATCCTCTAAAACCAGTAACAATAAAGAAATTACATTGCCAACATCGGAAATCAAAAAGTGGGTCAGTGAAATTCCAGCCGACGATATTGAGCGTGTAACAATGTGGATCGTGATTGAATATTCATTCAATTATAAAGAAATGCATGCGAAGGATGACAAGAGCATGTCTAGATCATGTAAAAAGATCACTGAAAATGTCACCATGAAATAAACCAGAAACACGTACGGCAGTATTCTACTTCGATAATTTACAATTTTGAAAAAAATAGGGTTCGGCAATGGCCTGTGATCGTTCCTATAGTTATTAATGTTTTAGATCTACGCTTTGATATTGGTAATATAGATTTCGAGGTTCTAAATTCTTATCAAATAAAAAAAAGAAAAACATTCACACAACTTAAATTATGATAATAAATTATATTTGTTTTGTTCCTTTTGTATACTACTAACACCGATTGGTGTACCATGATATTTTTTGTGCGCCCTCAGACCAGCATCTTGAGCGAAACCCTTACCACAAATATTACAAATATAATTTTTACCTTCGTGAATACGTTTGTGATGATTCAAATATTTGCGACTTGTGAAACCTTTACCACAAACGGCACAAATTATATCACGTACATTGAGGTGGGCCTTAACATGATCATTCATGCGTGTCAAATGATTAAAACCCTTCTTACAAATATGACAAAAATATTTAAATCTCTCCTCGTGACGTCTAATGTGATTATCATAGCTAATTGCAGTGCGAAAACTTTCACCACAAAATGAACATAAATAGGGTTGGGCACCGGTATGCGAACGCATATGTAACTCCAATTCGGCATTGAAAGGATAACCTTTGCCACAAATTTTACAAATGAATTTAAAAACACGTAAATGTCGTTTGGCATGAATGGTAAAGTTGGATATTTTCTTAAAACCCATACCACATTCTTGACACTTAAAGGGTGGGGAGCCATCGTGGTTGGATCGATGAATTTGAAAATCATTATAGGTTTCAACAATTTCTTTACACGTTGGACAACAGAAGGGACCTTGATTTGAATCCAAAAAGTCGCATTTACTATAATAGCCACACGATGGTTGGAATTCTTTTTCTGTTTTCTCACATTCCAAACGTTTGTGTTTGTCCTTGGAATATGATTTATGTAAATGTGATAAATGTTTTTCGAGTTTATAGATATCCATTGTTAGATTCATTTTTGTTTTGATTTCTTCTGCCATGGTTTTCAACGTCTCATTGCGTTTATCCTTAATGGTAAAGGCCATATGGTTCACATCCCACAAAGTCTGATAGTTTTTATAAATGTCTATTAAGTCTTCCATTAGATGATTACTTAAGGGTTTCTGAAAAGGAGAAAATAATTTAAAATTTATCATATTCAGGTTTATTTGCGTACATACCACTTTTTGGCGATATTTTTTCTGGAAAATAAAAAATAATTTTTTTAGATATATAACTCTATTATTTCCTTGATATAATTACCCTTTTAATCTGCACTTTATTTTCAATGGAACGCCTTAGAAATTCCATGTTTTCAAAAAACCATAATTGGGATTTTTCTCTTTTATTTCTGGGACACATACTCCGGTCAATTTCCTTTTCATATTCCTTGCAAAGACCGCTTATTTTCTTTTTCACCTGTTCCACAGTTCGATTTTCATCATTGAACTGCAAGTTTAAACTATCGGTAATATTTTTGTAGTATTCGATTTTCTCCTTGAGACTATTGCACTTTTGTGGATGTGTTGTATCCCATATTTGTGGTGTATTTTTAAAGGCTTCTATTAATGCTATAATAAAGACTTTATCGTCATCATCAACTTTAGATTGTGTTTGGATATTTTCGGTTTTTGTTCGATTTGTATTTTTTGACTCATCTTCAGATTCATCATCGAAATCACTTGATGAGTAATTTTCATCAGCACTTAAATCGGAATTATGATTGATCTGAAATATAAATCCAAATTGTTTATATTAAAAATGGGACCTATATAGTTTTTATCTTCTCTATTCTCTATATTTACATTATCATCCGAAAACTCATGCATTTCAATATCATCCTTGTCATAATCGTTTTCATTTTCCAAGGAACTTTGTAATACTGTTTGTTTTTCATCGCCTAGAATTTCATTGTCCCGTTGTTGGTTTTCCGATGTTGGCAATGTAACTTCTTCAATGGTACTGGTTTTTAAGGGATCATCATAACTCTGCTGACTTTCAATCTGAAATCAATCATTGAAAAAAAGTTATCTTAATAGGGATTCACACCCAAACTCATGCACATACATACCTTCTCTGTATTCCTTGTTGTCACCACATTAAACTCCTCCACTTCATCATTCTCCAGTTTCACATCAACCATACAATCTTCCACTTTTATCTCCGACAAATACAAACTATCCGCATCTCCAAGGTGTTCACTTTTGTTGTGATCCTCTTCGGCCACCACTAGACCATTGCTATTAATTTGTCGTTCATGTTCCTTTTCCAGATGCAAACTAAATTTTTTCATTTGTTGACATATTGTATCGCAAAACGTACAATTAAAGGAATATACGTATTTTGCATTCTTTTTCATGGTAATCGTAATTTCGCCACATTTTTTATTTATTATTTCACTATTTAATTCGGCTAAAGGAGGCATCTTTCCTCCTTTCCTGTTGGGTTTGTCAACAAAATATGTTTATATTTTCAATGGGGTATGTTCAGTTATTACCTACCTAAAGATCTCGTAGGTGGGGTGTGTTTAATCTAAGTGCATGCAATTAGAAGAAGACGTAAATTATGAGTAATTTAACGTTGTAGTTTAAATAAAGTATCACTGAACATACCCACAAACATTGGATTATTAGCCAAATGGCTTAGCCGCAATAAATGAAATAAAAAATAAAAAAATTGTACATCAGAAAGAAAACTGAAAGTGTAATTAATTTTTATAAAAAAAAATATTTCTAACATTTATATGAGGAGCTATCATGTCCACTGAACGTACCCATTACGTCGTAATACTAAGGCGACCCGATTTCTTAAATGAAAATAGATGACAGAAAGAAAAATATATATTTTTTTAATAAAAAGTATAAGTATGTGTATAAAACCGTATATTTAGATTTACTTATAAATTTATAAAATGAGTGAAAAAGTTTGTTAAGTACGACCGGGCCAAATTAGGTTCAAAACGAATAATCTTGGAATATTTTCAAAGGAACATAGCAAAGAAGTAGACCTATGTTGATTATATTTTTCACAAGGAATAGTAAATTACAGTTACTTCTGAATGGCAAATTTTTGTAAAATTAAAAAAAAAATAAAAATGTAGGTTTCTTTATTTTGGGGACACCTAGAAGCATAGAACTTAAAATATCAAAATACAGCCAATTCGGTTTCAAAACGTGTCTAGAAACCTTGAAAACCAACATTTTATAATTAATTATTTTTGGGCAGTTATATGGTTTTCCCTGCTGAGATTCGAACCCATTTTCAAAATATTTCTCTAAAAAATTCATAAAATTTATTTATTGATTTGTTTTAATTTACAAATTAATATTGGTTAAGGTTTTAAAAATATAGATGACAAAGATTATATAAATAGATTACAGATAGAGGACATACATTTTATAGATGACAACCAGTAAAATAGATAGAATAGGTCAATTCCATAGTGTATACGTCACAGTGGATTATATTTGACGTATACGCTATGTAATTGACATTTGAGATCGAGTGGACTTCGTAAATTATATTCTCATTTAAATGGCAATCCCAGTAAAATAAAAGCATACAAGCACTGAACATATCACTAAAACGTAACATTTACCAATATATATAAATTACCAAAGAACAAGTTTTATTTTAAAATAAGTATTTATAACCGTATCAATTTTATTATATGTGGAGCAATCTGTTCACTGAACATACCCGACTCTCCCACATTGTTTATGATCAGCAAAATATAAACAAACTATCACTGAACATACTCCAACTAACAAGGCACAATTTCTGAATGAATTTGTGTAAAACAATTTTTTGTATATTTTTATACATAAAAAATGGTTCATTATAATAAATTCCTGATGCGAATACCTTCTTAAATTTGCTTGATTTATTTTTTTTTGGCCACACAATATAGAATTTAACTCGCTCAGTCTTTACTCTTCTTATTACCTTGCATACACTGAACATACCCCTTTACGAATATAAACAAATTTTGTGGGTGAAACTTCAGACCGCTCATTTCTCCATGTCCCATTCTAAACAAAACGCATATATCGGCGTTATGCATCATCTTCATTCGTAAACATTTGTTTCGAGTTCATTATTTATCACCCATTTTCTCTTTGCTACTTATATTCGTTGCAAGTGGAACGTTTTTAAAATAGTTTGTAGGTATATACCTATGTATCCTGCTATGTGTTATTAAAATTATTAAAAACAAAATTACTCCAATTTTACAAGAAAAAAATGGGGGCTAATAAAAAGGCAATAACTAAGAAATGTGGAGAAATTCTGCTGAGCCTGAAAGCCAACAAAAAATCCAAGGTCTACATATTTAGCTGTGCATTTTGTGAAGAAAATTGTGACCAATTGAAAAAGTTCTCACTCCATTTGGATGAAAAACATTCCAAGCTTTATGACAACAGCGATACAGATCCGGTTATCGAAGAATGTCCCGATGATGATGACAAACCTGAAGAGAAACAGGATATTACAATTTTGTCAACTGAAGTTCCAGAAAAAATTGAGGATATTAAAGAGAATTTAGAGATATTTGTACCGGAGATTAAGGTAGAGGAATTGATGGACATTGCTAATGTCGAGGAAGATGACGATGATGAGGGGGATTTTAAGGATGTAAAACATACAGCAATTACAAAAAGTGATGATGAAAGTGGAGATCCTTTGGAAACTTCGATGGGAATTTCAACAAGATCCCTTTCGAATAGTGTAAAAAGTTCGACAGGTGTAGAGGAGGTGAAAAATGTAAAAGGTGAAAATGATAGCGATGATGAGGATGCTGATAACAACTATGAATTCAATTGCGAGTTTGAGGATTATGAGGATAGTGTTGGGGATTCGGGTTCCGAGAGTGATCAGAGTGAAAAGAAAGCGGATACAGCAAAAAATAAATTGAGGAAAAGAAAGGCCACAAGGGTAAATAATTTTTACTCATTTAAAAAAATGAATATTAAATATAAAATTAAATGTATTTTAGACCCAGGAAAGTGAATCTGAGGATGATAGCGATGATTCGAGGGATATGGATTTTAATGTAAGTATAAATTTGTATTTTGAGAATATATTAATTTTCTATTCTTTCCCTTAGTTGAACAAACAAAAACCGAAGAGCAAGGCGGGACGAAAAAAATCCAAGAAACCCAGTAACAATCCTCCCGTCGATGAAAAAGAATTGACATTGGCAGTATTGGCGGCATTGGAAAAACAACCAGTCCTTTGGGATATCAAAAATCGTTCACACGATAAGATAATCCGTCAAAATGGTTTTCAAGAAATAGCCAAAGAGGTCAATGAGAAATTACAATTACAAATGAAATGGGAAGATATACGAAAACGTATTACCGATATACGTTATCAATATTCCCGGGAATACGATAAACAATTGAAGGGAGACAAGTATGAATTACCTTGGTATACCGAACATATGAAATTTTTAAAGGAAAATATTGAAGTTCTTATTAAACATCGGGTAAGTATTAAAAAGGGGATGTGTAAGGTTTATAAGGGATATTTAAGAATTGAGTACATTTATATCTTATAGCCATTTATTAAATTCAATATTATTAATACAGACTATTTCATTTATTTTATTTTTTTTTTCATTTTAGTATCAAAAAAAGAAATACAAACGTTTGGTAAGTAAACTAAATTAACTTCCTTTCCAAATTTCACTTTTTAAAATGTATCTATCTTTTCTTTCATCCCCCAGAGTTCCTTAGAAGAATCCCATATACCAATTATCATAGAATACTATAAGAAATGTGAAATTCTGTGGCAGGTGAACAATATTGGTTTTGTGGTTAGACCCAAGAAATTGGAAGCTTTAAAACCCATCATACAAGAGCTGAAAGAAAAACACAACCTTGATATTAGTTTACCAGATATGCAGCGAAGTATTGACTACATAAATCGCATATATTCGGCCGATAAAGAAGAACAATTTAAATGTGAATTGGAAAATCGAGAATTTGTGCCATCCTCCAAATACTATGAAGATCTGTCATTCTTAAGCGACAGTCAGGGTCCATTTAAATGTTCGTATTGTAATGAAATCATAGCAAAATATGAAAATTATCACATTCATCTGGCTGAACACACCAAACAGGTGCCGTTTAAATGTGCTCTCTGTGAGATGCGCTTTAATAAATTAGTCAAATATATTGTACATGCCAAACGTCATTTGCGCATAAATAACTATCATTGTGATGTCTGCGGTAAGGGTTATCCGTTTAGAGCGGAATTGGAATGGCATGTTCGAGAGCATACTGGCGAAGAACCATATCTCTGTGAGATATGTGGTGCCAGTTTTCGTTCCCGCCACGGCTACGACAATCACATACGACGTCATGAGAAACGTTTTCGTTATGAGTGTCATATCTGTAAATATGGTTTTAATCATTTGCATGCCCTCAATGCCCATGTTAAGGCCCATTTGAATATACGTGATATTTTGTGTAATGTTTGCGGGAAGGGCTTTACCGCCAAGAAACATTTACTTCGTCATCAACAAATACACTCGGACACGAAACGTTATAAATGTTTAGTATGCGGCAAAGCATTTGCTCAGGATGCCGGTTTGAGAGCACATCGTAAACAGCATGCCGACTATGATGCAATAGAAGAAAAATTGACGAAAAAAGATCGACGAAAGGGTAGATATAATTATGATTAAGTATAATTTTAATAATAATAAAAAAAATAAACTATTTATTACATAAACAAAAAAATAAAAATAAAGTATTTGACTTATAAAGATTTAGATATAATAAAACAATTCATAGGATATATGTATGTAACCTTAAAACTTTCACTAAATAATTAAAGCTCATATTTTTTATCTTTATAAAATTCTATGTCGATTAAGCCATGTCCGTCTGAGCTCGAAATATTTAAGATAGAGTTTTGAAATTTAGCACATTCATTTCAATTACCCCAAGCATGTTTGATACTGATATAATGAGTTAACTAAGCGACTATATATCACCAGTCCTGAGATTTCCAGTTCTAGTAGAGACGACCGGTACCGTAGTAACCCTCCTCTGGACGGTCTGGCTTTTTATACAGACGGATCCAAGATGAAAGATAGTACAAGAGCTGGCGTCTACCGTGACTTGACCTTACCTACAAGTTTGTGGATAGTCAGCCGGCTCTTAATGCCATAAAATTCTGTAAAATCAAGTCTGAGGTCGTCTTCGATAGTAGAGCAGTTTTGGAAACACTCCCCTGCTGCGAGCAAAGATCCATGTGTATCTTATATTACCACTTTATTTCTACAGA